GGTTTAGGGTTCAGGGTTCAGGCTTGGGTTTGAAGCTGGAAGGGGCCATGATACTCGTAATCTAAGGGCCCTCATTAATTAGAATAGGGTTTTGGGGTATACTGTACTACCATTATACTGAGGATCCCCCAAAACCCGATTTTGATTATTATGGCCCCTACGGCAATACTACCCGAAACCCTAATGCCAGAAAACATTTCGTGGGGCAGCATCCGTGCACTCCATGTCATTAACAACTAGCGTATGGTCTACTCCGAGGCAGTCAGGCTCCTTGCTTCCGATGTTGGAGTTGGGAGTGAGGGTTCCGGGTTTAAGCTCCAGGGTTGAGGGTGTAGTGTTCAGCAGAATTCATGGTCCGAGTCCATACAGGATTTAGTGTTGAAAGCTTTCAGGAAAAAGGGCCTCGGTGTAGGGGGGCTTGCTGAGGCTTCGCAAGGTGTTGGTAGTGATCAAAGTGGGATGGCTAGGCTACGGTTTTAGGTTCAAGGCTTCGCAGTACCATGCAGACTTGCACTCCAAACCAACACTTTCCACTATAAGTGCAGGCCGATCTCTCAGTTCGAACAGGGATTGGCCCTTGCCACCCGCCCTGGGCCAGAGTCGCTTTCAACGCCAACCAGCGGCCCCCGAAAGGGCATGAGCAGGAACCGTTCAAAGGGATGGTCCTGCTTGCACTCATGCTATATATATATATATATAGATGGATACACAAAAAATCGTATGACTAAGGGCCCTTAGATCAACACCCCACACGAATTCTGCAGACCCTTTCTGTTCAATTAGAAGTCTCCAAGGCGGATTCCCACCTCGCCTGGCAATGGCGACTCTGCTCGCATTCAGAAATTCCAATGCCCAGTACCTGAACTACTTATTTTGCACCAGCCGAAGGACGTCCCTCTAATTGGGGTCTTAAATTACTATCCCCTTACGGTCCTCAGTATAGTTATTCTTTGGGGGGTTCCCTAAACACGTTTTCAGGTCCACTCTATACTCCCGAAACGCTAGAGGTGTGTAACATGTGTAGGCAGCAGACAGGGGCGCCAGTTCCACAGATATTGGCCCCTCCAGAAGCACATGTTCCACAAGCATTGGCCCCTCCAGAAGCAGATGTTCCACAAGCATTGGCCCCTCCAGAAGCAGATGTTCCACAAGCACTGGCCCCTCCAGAAGCAGATGTTCCACAAGTGTTGGCGCCCCCCAAAAGCAGATGTTCGAGATGCATGCGTGATGCTCGAAGAAGCCAACTGTTCCACTGTTATGCCCCGTCAAGAAGCATGTGTTCCACAGGCATTGTGTTCCAAAAAGCCACAAACCGTCTACTCCACAACCATTGCTTCCACCCAGAGATTCAAATGGCCCCTAGTTTGCTGCATATCTTACGTCTTATACTCCTTACCTGACCTACCTCGTAAGTGTTCCCAACCCCCAAGCTTTGCTGGCATTGGCAAGCATTTGCCGGTGTACATGGTACCCAAGCTATAAGTTTGAACTCTCCAACTTAGGTTTCCTGGAACCTTTTCTCAGTCGCGTCTAGCCAACAGTATCGCATTGCGCCCCACTTCCCATGTCATGACATGGGCGACTTGGATGATGACTCCTTTGACATCCTGGAGGACCGACTGTGTCAGAGCAGCAAGACTCAGCATCACCAGCATGACTGACGCATACTGACACTTTTGTGTTGCTTGCCGAGTTGCTGGAATCTTTGAGTATTCCGCGTGGCTTCCCAAAATCGAGTCGAATTTAGCTACTGTAGGGTTTGGGGTTGAGAGCTTAGCTTAGGGCCAGGGCCTGTCTACGGTGTAGGGTTTTGCCTGGGTGGGCGGAAGTTAGCTCGGGTAGTGACAAGTGACAAGTAGCTAAGTAGCAGCAGGTAGTAAGTGGCGAGTTACATGTGTATCTGCAGTGGAGTCTCTGGGTAACTGTCAATTTTGAAGGGGTGCTGCAGCATGGCTGGGCAGGAGTTGGATGATTCGGCTGCTGCGCTGGATCTATTGGAAGATGTCGATCAGGACAGGACCACGAAATGCGCAGCACACCAAGTTAAGCAGTCGGTGTAGTCCACAGTGCTCGAGTCGGCACGTAGTCAATCCGCATCAGTATCTTGTAGCCAAGCCAGAGGCTTGTGCATGCCACTGTCCTTCATATGCGTTCCTCATCCGCTGCGTGAAACCGAAGAGGTGGGAATAGTGCGTCGCATTTTCCCATGGAAGCAACCGCATCCTGTAAATTCGCAAATTGTTTCAGGAGAGCGCAGATGCTTTTCATGCCGGCGGGGCTGGTCTGTCTGATGTCGAGGCTGGCGGCCGGCTTGGGTGCGAGTTTTCGACTGCGCTGTAGCTGCCTATGCGGGCTGGTGACATCCTACTTTACTTTACGATTATTACTACTATTACTACTATTACTATTTTTTATTATAATTGCTTTGTTGTAGATTGTAGAGTCTATAGTCTATAGTCTATAGGGCAGGGTCTATAATTCTATAATCTATAGTATCTCTAGTATAGTATTCCACGTCATGGCAAAATCTTCGGCAAGCCACCTTCGTTCGCTGGGGGAGCCCTGGCGTGCTTCTGCTCGCGGCAGGTCGACAGTTTTCAAGATGCCGGGGAGCTGGACTTGCTGGCCGAATTGGATCTTGGCTTGAGTTGCGACTCTGGGTTTATGCGTGGCTTCAGTATTGAATGTTGCAGTGTTACAGGTCCCATCATTCTTGGCTTTTGATGTGCTAGTGATGCCCTGCTAGTGGGTAGACAGGTCAGTCAGAGTGCACGACGCTAGACCCTGGCACTAGTTGCCATACCTGGACGGTGGCGACAGTAACAGTAACAACTTAGGACTTAGGTTAGGCCTTGCCAGATTTGTGATTTTTCAATGCAATGCTTCATAGTGACCCAAACAGACTCACCACCCCTGACCCCCCTCTCTGTATTTATTCCGCACCTTCGCTCTGATTTGTTGCTGCCTACTTTTGGCATTGCTTCAGAATTTTGGCTCTGCGCCTGTGCCTGCTTGGCGAGTTGGGACCTGACCTATCCATTATCTCTCGAGACTTCCCGATGGCAAGCCAGTCCTCCAATCACGAGGATGCCAAGGCCGCCGCCAAGGCCGCCAGCAAGGGAGCCAGCCAGTCGTGGGGCGGGTTTGCCAAAGGCTTCCTCTTGGAGGATCCGAAGGCCTCGACGTCCAAGGCCTCCACGTCCAAGCCCTCCACGTCCAAGACCTCCACGGTGGCCTCCACGTCCAAGACCTCCACGGTGGCCTCCACGTCCTCCACGGTGGCCTCCACGTCCAAGCCCAGCACTTTCTCTGAGTACGAGAAATACTTCGAGTTTCCAGAGCAGGGTGACACCGAAGAAGACCTAGCGCCCTTTGTGCAACGCTTTGATGAAGGCACCGACATTTTTATCAAGAACGGCGCCATCTACACGAAACCATCGTGCAAGTATTGCAAGTGAAGAGAAGCTGAGAAGCCTTCCTGATTGCGGGTTGTTCCGGCAGCAGTTTTGAGATATGCTGCTTCGATGTGTTGGGTTGCAGGTCTTTGCGATCGCACTCCAGCTGTAGCAACTGTAGCTGTAGCAGCGTGAGACATCCGTCGTGCTGTCCAAGGTTACATTAGCTGACTCTGCGCATCTTTGCACTGCCGTCCAGCAAGTCTGAAAAGAAATTCATTGGATGTCAGCTCTTGCGATCCGAGTGAGTGTGAGCTGTTGCCTCCAACGAAAGGTCAGCCTTCGTTACTGGTATTGTTTCAAAGCTGCCCGTGTGGTTGGTTCGCTCAATTTTGCAGCATCGAATCTAGCCGAGTTTAGCCAAACATATCGCTGAGGAACCAGTTTCCGCGCCGGCGCAGCACCGGCTTGCGCCGCAGGAGGCAAGATGAAAGATTCAAGAGTAGTGTGAGTTTGTAGGAGTGCGGGGTGTGGTTAGTGCAGCTGCTGCCCGTCGACGGTGCAGTGACTTGAGTTGTGTGCAGAGAGCTGAGGATGTGGTATATATAATAAAAATATTAGTAATAATATACAATAATATAATATAATATANNNNTATATATATATATAATATATATCTATCAATATACACACCTTAACAGCCTTAACTCTCGCCAGGCACCACAGGCGCCGGCGGCGGAGCAACGTGTGCGAAGAGTTACCAAGCTGCAGAAGGCAAATCCCACAAGCCAAGCCATGACTGGTACGGAATGCCTTGTTGCGTTATTCAAAGCGACGCACGGTAGGTAGGTAGGTCCAGGGAGGTAGGTAGGTAGGTAGGTAGTTAAAGTGGGTTGGTAGGCCATGCGAGTGATGTGTGATGTGCACAGGCGGGTGATGTGAATGAGCAGGAAGGCCTTTTTTTGCTGGCAAGTCATGATTGCGCGGCACAGTGAACCAGGCGTCTGTTGTATTCTATCCTAGGCTTCTGTCTTCGGTTCTGGCCCTGGGAGACAACGCACCTACGAGCAGCAGTGCCTTCTTGCGGCATCAGGAAGGGAAGCACGAGCTCGCAGAAGGGCGCAGCAATTGGTTGAGAGTAGTGGTGAAGCTTTACAGCGTTTTGCAGATGATGTCAATGAAAGGGTTGGTTCCCGATGCCCCAAGTTGAAGGCTGTACTTGTCAAGGGGCACAAACAGCAGAATACAATGTGCTCTACGAGGGCTGCAAAGTTTGTGTTTGGAGGGAACAGGTCCAGGCGGAAGTTGACGGCCGCTGAGATTTGTGAAGTCAGCTTTGACAAGCGGCACAACCGGTACGCGCTTGCAGATCAGTATCAGTGCAGCCCACAAACAATCCGGCGGTGTTTCGTTACAGCCTCACAGGCACTCTTGGAAGCCCAGCTGCATTTGTTGAAAGACCTCCGGAGCTTTGTGTTGACTCACAAACCAGACGTGGCGGCAGCGTGTCTTATGTGGGATGAAACCGGCCAAACCCTAGCTCTTGATGCAATTGACAGAACCAGCCGTTGCCAGCAGCGCTCAACCTGGAATGTGTTGGTGGGGCGTCTGCATTTCACGATTGGGTATCTCAAGGGTCCTGGCGTTAAATTATACCGGGAGGTGGTTTTTCCGCCTCTCCCCCTCAGCACAAACAGCGCAGAATCGATCTTCAACGGTTTGTTCCAGCACCCACTTTCGAAACCTTTGATCGAGCTGACGCAAGAGATACTTGCAGCAAGCCGACGTTCAATTACCGCCTTCGAGACTGATGGGCACTTGGCCAACGAGAAGTTGTTTTTCCATTTTCACAACGAAAGCAAGCAAGAACATGAGCAGAAGAAACGCCAGATCGATGAGGCGGCTGCTGATGGTCAGTTCAGCTGGACAGATTCAATGCCCCGGCTGAGCGAGCAGGCATTGTGCCAAAATCACCAGGTCAATTTGGTGTTCAACGATGCAATCCGTGCTGCGCCGCGGACAGAGTCAACGGGAGGGGACTTGATTCCCAACTTATACGCAGGGACCCTTTTCCTCCGCATGGGGGGTCACTTCTTGCGCCTCATTGCCTCCCTTCGAGTCCACATTGATAACCCGGGCTTCTTCCAGTGGCGCCAAAATCCGAGCCAGGCAGACTTGGATCGTGGCCGATCTTTTCGGAACGAGGTGAGTGCGTATCTGAAAGCCAATCTGAGGCACCACGACCGGCAGATGACAGCAGTTCCACGCCGCTTTCCTTTGGTTAGCACGAAATAACTAAGTAAATGTAAGACTAAGGCTAAGGACTAAGGCTAAGGACTAAGTAAGACTGATTAACTTCCCTATCCTCCTCGATAAGAAGACTGTAGCAGCAGTTCCGTGAATACAGTATTTCACACCTAGCGCTGTTACTAGCTGCCACTGTGCCACCGCCGCCACCATTATTACTGCTACTACTGCTGCTGCCACTACTGCCCTAAACCCTAAACCCTAAACCCTAAACCCTAAACTTCTAAACCCTAAACCCCTAAACCCTAAACCCAAAACCCTAAACCCTAAACTTCCTAAACCATAGCATAATGATTATCATACTACAAGAACAATTTATTGTATTGTTATATTATATGACATTGTATGTGTCTGTATATATATATATACATAATATTATATATATATATATATATATATTAGGTTATATATATATATATTCATAAATATAATATAAATTATATTATATAAATAAATAAATATATATATATATATATATATTATATTGTATGATACAATACAATAATATCATATATGTATCATGAATTCCTGTACATTCTTTTATTATTACATATTTTGTATGTTGTAGTGTTTATGTTGTTTCATTATGTTGTGTTACGTTTTGTTCTTTTAGGTTATGTGGTGCTATGTTAAATTATTTTATGTTACTGTGGGTATGTACGTAGTTATATGTAACATATACAAATGTACGTGTTTATATTATTCACCCTTACATACGCCTTATCCGCTGGCTGGACACTTCAGAGGGAATTGTTGAGTGATATATGTGGCTATTTGACCGTAAGCTATAGCAGGCTGTATGTTAAGTCTTCAGGCGGCTGAAGTTGAGGCGGCTGAATAAGGCTACCGTTGAGGCAGGAGTATGACTCGGTCTGACAATAGCAGTCAGAGCCAGAGCATTTGTTACTCTACTCTGGTGGCGGTCTGTGGTTAAATTGGTTCTAGATTCCGAAGGAGGGCCCGCGCGACTGTGTTTGCTGAGGAGCCCACGACTGGGTAAAGCTCGAGAAAGAGATATCTCATTGTTTCGACAACGTCTTGAACGGCTGCGGTTGGGATCATGGGGTCCTGGTTCATCAATGCGTCAATTCCTGCTGCAAGACACGTCGAGAGGCGCAGGACAAGGTCCTGCTTGCAGCCACACAAATCCTTTTTCGGGTGGTGCCTTGCCTTCCACTCACCTCCGACTGGACGAAGATAGGGCCTTGTCTCGATGCCTACATCAGCATGGACTTTCACGGACTCTTAGGATTCCTCCTCCAACAATCCGGGTGGGCCCACAAACTGCCACAGCGAGCCGAGGACGAGGAAGCGGATGCGAAGGTGGATTGGCGGGCACTTGCAGGACGTCGCTTCCACAGATTCTGTAAAGTCATGAGTTCGCACGAAGAACGCTTCGAAAGGGTGCTACTCGCCATAGCGGTTGAACCTTTGCGTCACTTGCACTCAACTTTCCTTGCTTTCGCACACTCAGCAATCAATGAGGAGGCTTGGCCCCTGCTTTTGCGAGAGCTCTGGGCTCCTTCATCGAAGTACATCTCAGTCATGCAGTATTATTCCGCATTGTTAGCCGGCCAGGGCTCGCGGTTGCTTTTGCTTGCGGGACTCAGTGGGCATGAAACAGTTGAATCTTGGATTCTGGCATGCCCCGGTGAGGCGTCCTCTGCAAGGAGCCGGTTGCTCATGATCGCAGCTTCCCTTCACCGCAGGTATGAGACGACTGTGGACCGCTACCCTTGGCGGTTGTACAGCCTCGCGGACCCAAGGTGCTGCGCTGATCATGAGCGCATTTGCGCAGAGTTCTTCAAGAAACCTGCGTGCTGCCACTCGCCCGGGGTTGCACGTGAGATTCGTGAAGCCCTCACAGCAGAGACCTTTCAATCAGACTTGCCTTCCGTGCGGTGGCTCTTCCTTTTGCATGCCATGATTATAAAGTTCACAGTTGCCTCGGTGGAGAGAAGGCATGCGACCCACAAATCGATTGCCGACCCCGGTAGCCCGTGGTATTGCTTTGCTGCTGAGTCAGTTCTTGCCGAGGCTCGGCATCAAGCGCAAGCAGTTGAACGCATGGAGCATGAGCGTGAGTTGCGAAAGGTCCAGAGCGCTCTGGATGCTGGCCAAACCAAACGCATCAAGATCAAGAGAGATCAGAAGGAAAAGCGGCCAAAGGCCAAGAGTCCTCTTGAAATCTTCAGGGCTGACTGGCTGCGTGCTGAGAAGGAGCGTGGTAGAATCTGGAACCCTGGCTCACGTGAATGCTGGCAGAGCTGCCGCCAGGCCTTTGAAAGCCTCGTCCCAGATCAGGTGTCCCAACTGCAGCTTCGAGCCCAGGCCTCCAAGGTGCTGGCAAGCGTTGCAAGGAAAAAGAAGCCACGTGCTGCGCGTGCTGGTGGCTCGCTTCCGGTCAGAGCTGGAGCTGATGCATCTAGCCATGTGCAACCGCTGCCCAATTGCAATGTTGATTCTGTTGACCCTGCCAGCTCTGCAGCAGACCCGCTCGCTTCGTTGATGCAAGAGGCAACGGACGGAGCACTTGCTTTGGCCCCAGTGCGGGCTGGCTGTTTCCCAGGCCCTCCGGTGCCCAAACATCTGGGTTGCAACAGTCTCCAGGAATCAGTGGTGCAACAAGCTTCAAGAAGCGGCCTAGACGCTGCAGAGAAGTTTCCCATCTCACAGAGCATGATCAAGAGCCGCATGAGCGCATCAGACTTCAACTTGAAGAGAGACGTGGCAGACTTTGCCAGGAGATCGAGCCATATTGCATCGGGGCCTTCTGTCCCACACAAGGTTTTGTATCCAGGTTCCTGTGGTGCACTTTGTCGCACGCACAGCACAACGCGCGCAATCGGCTTTCATGCGAAGTTGGTGTCCCTGTTGCACGGCATTGTGAAGGAGTGTAGTCCCACCGTGAGGCGTGTTCCGGATGCTGGCGTAGTGCTGGTCGTGCAGAGCTACCTTGAACCGCCTCAGCCGGAAGCAGAGGAAGCCGCCGCTGATGGCGTGTTTTTCTTCGCAGTGGCTTGCTCTGCAGGCAGACAGGCGCACCACCCCGCACAGGTCACCTTTGCTGAATTGCAGTTGCAGCCAGGTGGCCCAGGTGGCCGCGCAGCCTGACTGACAGCTTCAGTTTGAGTTTGACCGTTGTTTTTGTTTGCCTTGCTGGCTGGGAATTCCGTGAGTCATGAGGGTCTCTGAGAGGGTGTTCGTTCGCGCGTGGGTGTGGAAAGTGTGCGATGCCGTCATGGTTCATGATTCATGATTCATGATTCATGATTCATGATTGATTCATGATGATTGAAGTCGAGAGCAGAGCATACCAGAACCATTCCCATCTATTGTCTGCAGTTGTGTGTGTGTGTGTGGCGGCGACTACTCAACTAACTCAGTGCTCCTTTGTAGTGGTAGCAGCCAGCAACCAGCCAGTACCTTTGGTTATCTCGCCAACCTGCCGAGGCCAGAGTTGTTGCAGCTGCAGACTGCGTGGGCCAGACAGTGGAGCACAAGCGCGAGCCTTTCGTGGCACCCTGGAAGGCAAGACGCAAGCCGCTGGACCAAGCAATTTCGTCGGGTCGGACGCTTCTCCTGTTTCAGCAACATAGAGTTGCATTTAGGAAGGTGTTCAGGTAGCTTCACAGATCCAGAGATTTCCGCCACGGTCCGACAAGTTCTGGCATAATGTAGCTCAAAGCATTCAGCAATTTGCGCAGCTATAGTCTATAGTATAGTGTTAGCTTGTGCTTGGATCCCCGAGTGCCTTCTGTGGAGTTTGCTTTGTCGAGAGAACCGTGGTGACTAAGGATGTGTTGCTGCACCGAAGATGAGTTGGCGGCCCGGGTTTGTTTTGCAGAAGGAACACCTGTCGAATTCGTGCGGATCTGTCGGCTGGAGTGGGTTTTTGCTGGGGCTCGATTGGATGCCTATGAAATCAGGGGTGTGCAAGCTACATATGAAGCAGTGGCCCAGCCAGAAGCACCACAGAGACGGCAGCAAAGGCAGCCGGTTCAGCACGAAGACGAAGTTGCACAATTTGACATGCTTGAGGACCTCCTGCAGGAGCACAAGCCTGCCAGGCGCAAGCAAGAGCGCAGACAAGCTGTTGCACCTGTAGCTGCAGTGGAAGAGTTCGATCCGCTTGAGCTTGATCGTTTGCATGTGACGGATGCAGATGCCTGTCCGCGCCGTGAAGAACTTGAGGATATGGAAGAGGATGCGAGGCTGTTTTTGCAAGGCCTGCAAGGTCCGGATGATGATTGTGATGAGGCTGAGGTGCCTGAAGCTGCTGTTCCTGAAGTTGATGCAGTGATGCCAACTGGTGCCGGGGGACAAATAGGTGTGGGTCCGAGTGTGGGTGATGTGCATCCACAGCCGCCCCCAGCTGTTCCTCAGACAGTCAGTCTTGAGAGTCTTCCGATTTTTGACAATGGTTGCTGGCACTATGTGCGTAGAAGTGATGGTAGCTCTGTTGGCCGGCTGCACCACATTGCATCAGCTCAAGGAGCGTCCTTGAAGGCCACGTGCAAGCTGCACAAAGGCTGTCATTGCATGATCAGTTTGCCTCAGCTTGGGTCCGAACGGCTGGCGAGTGTGAGTCAGAGACTGGGCAGGCCGCCACAGTTGGAAGACGTAGAGATGGATTTGGTTCAGTGGCTTTCGAATGGCCTGAGCATGACCGCGACGCAGCATGATGATGATGGCCGTGAGATGAGAGCCACTAAGTGGCATGTGAAAGTTCGTGCCAAACGTTGAGGATCCCGTCGTGGTCCTTCTTGGCTATGCCGAGTCCTCAGTGCTGGCAATGCGTTTTCTTGAGACAAGACCCCAGCCGGATAGTTCCAATCCCACGTAATCGGACGTGACGTAGCAGCTGCAGTGCAAGCAGTTGTTTAGCAGCCAGCTTTCTAGCTAGCAGCAGCTGGTATCCAGCTATTCAAGGAACCATGCAGTAACCAATACGTTCAGACCGCTCTGCCAAGCCCCCACCAAGGCCCCAAGGCCGAGCCCAGACTTTCTTGCATTCCGTTGTGTAAGTTGCCTTTGTTGCAGCTTCCTGTCTGGGTGATAGTTAGACTAGATCTTAGGCTTAGGCCTTAGGTCTTAAGTCTTAAGTCTTAAGTCTTAAGTCTTAGGTCTTAGGTCTTAGGTCTTAGGCTTAGGTCTTAGAATCTTAGAGTCTTAGAACTTAGAATCTTAAAATCTTAGCCGTAGCGGTGCACTTAAAACTAAAACTGTAGCTTGGACCCATTTCGAACTGGAAGCTAACTACAGAGGGCAGGTTGCAAGACGGATTGATGATGGACGTTCTAAAGAAGCTCCAGCGCACCGGGCCCAAAATTTCAGGTGCCCGCTGAGCGGCCAGCGGCCGCTGTCTTCCGCCCAAGCCCAAGCCTATGCTTTCGACGCACCTGCAACTGGCCTTTGGCCTTGGCAGATCATTGGTGAGTCTCGAGTCGGGTGAGTGCTGTAGCTGTTTGCTGAGTGCTGCATGATGAGCCACCAAACCGCCCAAACTTAAAGCCACAACGAACACAACCGCCAGCCGCCCCAGGCCTGGGCCCTAGGCACCTTTATATTAGCCTAAAGTCTCTACACGGCCAAACCAAAGTGTAAAAATAGGCCTTTATAGGTTCTTTGCAACGGGCTTTTTGTGCGTCGTGACTGAATATACATATTAAATTTATTAAATTAAGAGTATAATAATATAAATAAATAAGTATTATATATATTTTATAGTATATATAAATAAAGGACATAAGGAGTTCTGACACTTGCAAGTATGGATTTGGGTTGTCTGTGGTAGGTATAGTTTTATCGTTCTCACATTCTAACAACTTTGCATTCTCACAAGACCAATCCTCAGCCCTTTAAACTTTAAACAGTAGTTTATAACTTCATTCATAACCGTCCTAACCATGACAACAACCGCCAACTTCCTGGTCTGAGCCTTGTGCAGCCTGAGGCCAACCGAAATGCCAAACTGTGGGGCCGTAGGAGGCCTCGGCAATAAGTCTTGCTGTTACTGAGGGGGCCGGTAGGAATGTCCTCACTACGGTCACTACAGAGGCTGTTAGGTCGATAGTTAATAATAGTTCGTGAACTGGTCAGTATGTTCAGAGTCGTACTTGCTTCGTCCAAACTTGATGTATGTATGCCTGCCATCATGTCTTGTGTTCTATGTCTCCGTGGAGGTACACTTGATGGCATGATGGGTTTGGGCCAATTTTTTTGGAATTCATTCAGGATTCAGGAGGCTGAAGTACTCGAGCCTGCGAAAAATCAAGTAGGTTAAGCTCAAAGGGCAGGGCAGGGACTCAATTAGGCCTAGACAGACTATGACAGTTTGGCGTTGATTTGGATGTTTGGTAAAATATGACTTGAGGTTGTCACATGTCTTGGCTGGGGTTGCATTGAAACCATTTGTGCAAGTTTTGGAAACCTGGTGGGTAATATGAGCAATCTAAACCACCTTGAAACATTGCGGAACCAGTGGAACCTGCGGCGGTTGCATGGGCGAAGTATGTGGAATGGTTTCGGAAGCAGTGTGGAACTTGCAGTGATTGTATGCACGAAGGATGTGGACTTGTTGCGGAATCAGTGTGGAACTTGTGGTGGTTCTTGGGGCAAAGGATGTGGAATGATGTTGGTCGCACATGGAAACAATTAGCGTGTGTTGCGGAACCTTTGCGGAACCAGCTGTGGAATCTTAGGCGTTGTTGCGGAACCTTTGCGGAACCAGCTGTGGAATCTTAGGCGTTGTTGCCGCGGGAATTGGGTGGAATCTTGCACGCCGCCGCTTAAGAATATAGAAGACACATGTTTCCAGGCCAACTTCCGCAACTTTTTCCTAACACACACAAGTTGTTCCGCAAGTTGTTCCGCAAAAGTTCCGCACACAGACGACGCTGTTCCACAAGTTGTTCCGCAAATTGTTCCGCACACAGGCACACTTGTTCCACACGGGTTCCGCAAATTGTTCCGCACACACGCACACTTGTTCCACACGTGTTCCGCAAATTGTTCCGCGCACACCCCTCTTGTTCCACATGTGTTCCGCAAATTGTTCCGCACACACCCCTCTTGTTCCACATGTGTTCCGCAAAATGTTCCGCACACACACCCGTGTTCCACAACTTGTTCCGCACACTTGTCTGGCTGTTCCGCGCCACAACCAGACACGCAATCGTTCCACACATGCCCAACACTTCTTGAATCCCGGAAAGTTGTCCGAATTTTCGCAATGTACTTTTTTTTTGCAGGCGCCCTAAACCCTAAACCCT